TCTCTTGTACCCCGGTAGCAGTAGGAGCACAGTGCTCCTGCTTCGGCTTTTATCATCATGGCTCCCTCTTTGAGCAACAAAGTTGGGTAAAAGTGTTTTTTAATAGGTTTCACAATCTGATGAGGAGAAACTCATGCCCCTTCTTGGAGGATGGCAAGAACTGCTTACACTAAGTAATGAAGTTCAGGGCTGATAAGAAAATGGAGCAGGGTGATGGTAGCAAGATACCCCTCATGAAGATAAAACAAGTCAAAAGGGAGCCTTCCTCAGAGTATACGTATAAAACTGGCAAAAGAAAGGAGGAACTAGGAACTGCTCTGCATGCAGATGCAGAATGGTGACATCCTTAGGAAAACTGAAATATGGTGGGACAGCTCACACAACTAGAGGTCTCCAAAGAATGAAGGGCTCATTAGTAAAGACAAGGAAAATTTAGAGGAGAGTTGGCCTCTATGTGAAGAAGCAGCTTGAATGCATGAAATTGTTCTGTATAYGGACAACATTTTTGCTAAGAGACTRCGGATCACCRGTGATCATTATGAYGATGTGGCACAATGCTGGGAATTTGTTRCAGAGCCTCCTCCTCACCCTGATCAATTGACAGTGTCCTTTAAACAGCTTAAGCAAGGCACATGGTAAAGAAGGAACTTGAGACTGAGCTGCAACACACCAAACCAAACAGAACCAAACCAAACATATCCAAACCAAACAAATAGTATATAGAAAGCAGAAGCAAAACTGACCTAAAAGGAAAGAATTTTAAAACACTGCACCTCTATGCTAGGATAAAAAAAAAAATCAGTTTGAGTTCAAAGTGGTAAGGGAAGATTTAGGGCAACAAGAAGAGCTTCTACAGATGCAAGAACASCAACAAAACAAACAAGAAAAATGTAGGCCTGAAATGGTGGCCTAGTGACAGGGAAAATGGAGAGAGCTGGGAAGCCCAGYGCTGCTTTTGTCTTCACCAGCAAGACCCCCAAATCTATGTGCCCAGAAGCAGAGTTCAATAAARACAGCAACCACCAGTAGTAGGAGAAGATCAAGTTGTGAGGACACAGCTTCATGGCTTTATGAATCCAGAATAACTCCACACTGAATTCAACCCCTGATTGTCAGCTACATGGAATAAAGGACATTGCTGTGAGAGTCTAAGATTATAAAAGGTCCAAAGATACACATTCTAGGCAGAACAGTAACAGAAATGTTTATTCAAAGCATCTAACACAACCTTTTACAAATAAAAATATTGTTTACCACACTAAATCATCTACTTTGAAATCACTCTTTTTGGGGCTCTTTTCCTTTAGTTGTATCCAATTCCTCTGTTTCCTCTGGTTCCTTCTCCTAAATCATATATTTTGAAATTCTTTTTTTGGTGTCTTTTCCTTTAGTTGTATCCAATTCCTYTGTTTGCTCTGGTTCATTCTCCTAAATCACCTCCTTGGAAGTTTCTTTTTTTGGGGTCTTTTCCTTTAGTTGCATCCAATTCCTCTGTTTGCTCTGATTCATTCTTCTAAACCAGTAATTTCTGTCGAGTAGAAGGAAAGACAGAGATTAATTTTATTATAAAATACTAGAGACTAATCCCAGTAACCTAAAACATAACTCTAGGACTCTGCTGTCCACCTCAGTCCTCCTTACCCCTGCCTTTCAATGCCAATACTTGAATTTAAGTCATTTGCATTGTTTGTCAGCTGGCAGACAGACTCACTCAGTACACACACACTGACTGCCAGTCAGCCCATATGTAACTCTGGAACAGCCAAAGAATGTCTCCTGGTTAGATGATTTCATAAGCAATGCAGAACAAGAAAGATGGAATTTCTGTGCGAAAAAAGAATGATAGTAAAGGGACAGGGAATACCAGGATGCAAGAAAACAGATTTTGCTACATCTGCTCTTCACAGGATGCCTAATTTCTTCAAATCATTCCCTCTTACTGCAACTTAATCTCGCTAAACATAAAGACAAAGGGAACAATACGTTGCTTCATTAATTATGGATGGAAATCTGTGCTGAAAAACATTTACAATCATCCAGATCCTTGATTCTGGAAATAAAGAGTTGGAAGGAACTTTGAGAACATCTATCACTCTGCTGTGTTTTCAGGCACTGGCATCTGCCTCTGTGCCATATCTGAATTTGTCCTCAAACACACCCTACAAATGCCATGGGGGAAACTGCTTTGTTGTGGTGGGCCTGAAAATTTATTAGAATCAAGTTCAGTCCAAATGGTTGAGTCCAAGGGTTGAGACAAACCAGGCTCAATACACTTTTGCCAAATGCAAAGCAGAKCTATAACCTGCTGAGATTTCTGCTGGATTTGACCCAAGCCCTGAGATCCTGTAAGATATCAGTCCTACACACCAGGTCAGCCAGCTGACTGCTCTGCCCTGAAGCTGGAGAGCACCTTCAGAGGTGAAAATTGAGAGCAAATAAATTATGAAAACTGCAAGAGCTGACCTAAATATTTAGTATATACCTCCAGGCATTTTCATATGGTTTAAGAAATTTTCTAATCCTGAAAGACAGTGGTCTGCTTGGATTCATTGTAAAAAGGCCTGATTAMAAATGGAAAAATTTATCTGATATTTTCATACATCAGACAGGCAAGCTTGTATATTTTAAGAATAAATACAAACAACATAATTGGGTGGAGGCCTATGAGCTAAACATGAGTAAACATGGATGCATCCCTGCTGCTTCTTGAAACTGTGTATTTAAAACAGGCTTTTGAACTGCCTGGAAGAAATTTGAATGTCAAATGTCTTTGGTTTGTAGGAGAAACAAACCAATAGAGACTATTCAAACCATAATGCATAACAACACCCAAAATTTATTTCTTCATATTTGTTTTGCTTGCTTTTGAACTACAATTGAGAGAATTAAGAATACAGAGTTACATTAATGAGAGAAAAGTGAAGTGCTTGAAACTCCTTGAACTTCCCAGGGTCTGACATTGTCCCTCATTTTTGTAAAAAAACTCCTGCAAAACAGTTTGGATATGCAATGTTTTACAAATTGAGCTCTGCAAATGCTGCCAACTGTACATGCACAGAAGTGTCACTTTTAATTTGTACCRTTGCAATATGGGAATATGACTTCTCATAGTTTACCTCTCCAGAGAACTGCCCTCTTTATGAAAGGCAGAGATTCCCATGGTCTCCCAGCAGCAACGTGGCATCAGCTGATTGACATCCACCACTTCAAACCCTGACTGCTAATTAAAGAATGAGCACACATGCACCATTTCTCACCTTCATCCTCCTGATCTCCATTTACTTCTTCCTCTCCTCCAGCATTGCTTATATTGGAAGGGTCATGACTCTCATCCTCCTGAGTTTCTGAAATATGAGAAATTAGAAATACCGAAGAAAAACAATTTTACAAATTTGCACTCAGCCTTTGTTTTCATGTAATAGCTGCTAATTCCTACTGAAGGCTGCAGTTCTTTTTCACATGAGAAATCCCATAAAACCTCCTCTGTTGTAATGAAGTTTGTATAATAAGCCATGATATAAACTAAAATGACTCATAGGCTTCCCAAGAGAGTTGTATCTCATGTTATGTGAAATAAAATAGATACATACATGTTATGCCATTTATAAATGGTCTTGGAAGTTTCAAACATTTAATACATGGAAAATCATAGGAAAACCAAACCAAAACAAAACACAAAAAYCCTATCACATCACTTGATATTAAACCTGTAAAACCTGGGTCACTGTAGTCAAAGCATGGAGTTTTCAGATGTTTCCAGAACAAACCTGTAGGAGGTTTCTCCTCTTCAGTTAATGCCTCTGCTGCTTCTCTCTCCTCGTCCTGGGGAGACCAGGGGGTTAATTCAGTAATTTCAGATACTTTCCATTTTGATTCAACAGGTGGTGGTGCTTCCTCCTCYTCTTCTTCTTCTTCTTCTTTTTCCTAGAAGAGAACTCATGAAATCCAGTACTTCATCCTACAGAGAGTAACTAAGATGATGGGTTAGTCGAATAAAACCTCCTTATCTGGGATCAAAACAGCAATGACCTTAGAAGTATTTACAAGTGGAAGAACTTCAGCAGCTGCAAATCTTGGACAAGAATTACACTTTGAACCTTGATGAAGTCACTTGGCTGTTACTGATGATTGATCCTGATGCTCTGTCTGGTAGATGCTACACTGACTGTCTCACACAAAAATAGACCGAGAAAGCAGCTGTTTCTGCCTCCCTCTTTGCCTGGGGGGGACCTTTGGAAGGATCCAGGAAGCAATAAAGTAGTGCACAAAGCTTATGGTTTAGGAATTTGAATAAAATGTTTAAAATTTCAAATAATCATGMTTTTTCTCCAAATATGGAGGAATCATAGTAATTGAATCATTATCTGTATTGTTAGCTAATTTCTCCTCTTTTTTTAATGGACTTTGTTCTGCAATTACTTCAATTAAAGTAAAAGGGCAAAATTTAATCTTACTTTAGTGACGGCATTGTCCCTTGCTTTACAAATCTCATCCAAGAATTCCCAACTGAACTAAGGAAATACACATTACTTTGGATACACCTATGAATCTAATACCTAATTTGAGAATCTTCTGGTTTTAGCAAAAAAAAAAAGAGCAAAACAGTCTCCAAGTTTTGCAAATCTCTATCACAATTGATAGGATTTTGATGATTMTTATTTTATCCTTCAGAAATGATTGCTGCATCAGAGAATTTTCAAAGAGWGTGTAATGGGAAATAATGTGTCAGAAAACAGAGTTAGCAAACTCTAAGCTAAAATGTGGCAATTTTTCTTGAAATCAAACAATAGTAGTGAAATATATTTCTTACTTCTGTAGCTATTTTTGTACCATTAATCAGAAATGTTTCAAAACATTCATACATAAAGAAGAAGGGAAAACAGACTTTGATCCTAGCCACTCCCTATTAATTATTAGAAGCCATAGATACTAAGCTCCTAACAGAATCAGGAGAACAATATTATATATCTCCCAATCATGAATCTGCTGGAAATTACTATTTGTATGCATAGCACCAAGCAGTTCAGAAATATAAGAAATCTTGTTCATTGTTTTCCAGTGTTCAGAAGAAAATGCAATAGAGGCTAAATGTACAGACAAATATATCTATATAACTCTGTGCTTTCAAACTTCAAATGTTTTGGGAAGGTCCCGATTCTTTTTAAGCAGAAAGGATTCCTGTTTGCAAGGAGTGCAAAATCACTTCCTGTACTTTTCAAAGCTTACACAGTAGAGAACAWTTTAAGAAAAGCAAAATGAAACCTCATTTAGTTCTTAAGAATGCATGAGTTTCCACCCTTTTTGACTCATAAGATGTACTTTAACATCACTGTCTATGTATTTTATATATTCCTCAATTTTATRTTCCTGATTTACTGAGTTCTCTGATACTCACTACACCTTACACTACTTTTTTACCTGCACTGCTTCTACGTATTCACCATGCTGCTCACATCCAATTTTAAAGATGTATTTGCCACGACCTAAAGGCTGCATAAAGACACAAAACATCAGGAGAACTGAACAGTTAATTCTAAGCACAGACACATAAAATATCCTTTACTACAAATTCCATATGATAGTCAACAACACTACAGTCTGAAAGYAAATTTGCAGAGAAACTTGGCATTGTGTCCCACAGATTAATTCASTTTCAGGTGTTACACTTATGGTACAAGAAATAGTACAAAAGATCAGAAAGCTAGCTTCTTATTTTAAGTGGAAATAGGTCATAATAAGGCCAYGCTAACTGTTCAAATGAATAGAAAGTGCTCCTGCACTCTTACCTTTCCATTGAGAAACCTGCCCTTAAATGTATGGTTTTCATGGATAAGTTCAGCTGGTCCTTCCTGGATTCCATTTACCCAATGACCGACATACTTAGATCCTGTGTCTTTATAGACATATGTGCCTTTCCCRTGCCTAAGGAGAAAATAATAATTTTGTTTTCTATCCCTGAATATCAAGAATTTAGGATGTTGTTATATTTAAGATATTAAAACTGTATTAATTAAGCAGCTGAAATTACTCAAGCTGGATTAACTGCCAAGGTCACCCCTGGGCTTCATTTGCTACAGTCTGACATGCTCTGAAAATAATCTTCGCATTTTAATGCCGTTGGGTGAYGTGAAACATCTGTGTGAGAACGAAACAAACCTCATGTTGTTAGACCAATCTCCCGTATAGGTGTCTCCATTTGCATACAGATATTCTCCAAARCCCTGTTTCTGGTCATCCACCCAGTCTCCTTTAATGACAAAAGGACAAAAACACTGTGAGATGTGGTTTATTTCATTGTGTGATACAGTGGCCAGTTTGTAGAGCTATCATATAAGTATTAGAGAAAAAAAAGAAAGTATGACACCGTTGTGATTCCTCACTATTCTTTACACCATTCCTCACTCTAGAGTCCCTTGCTCTTTTTTCATCAGTCCGTTCCTCTCCACATGTATTTATGTGGCTGCCTGACCTCTCTTTCCATTTTTCCATCATTATCTGTCTCCATTATCACTCTCTATTATCAGTATGAACACATAACAACCCATTCYTATCTTTAAATTGGATAATGTATTAAAGTTGTATTAGATAATGTGACATTTCCACATAAAGAGGAATTACTTTAATTTGACTCATTGGCTAAAGTTATCCTGTCAGTCATGAGGCACCTACACTCAGAAGGATGCTAGATTGTGTGTCTTAATTATTCTTCTATTCAAACTTTTTTTTTTAAATCACAGTGCATATGTTCCTGCAAGGCAAGATCAGGCTGCTCTTTGTGCTCTCAGCTTTTCCCTCACAATGTGGATGTCTTTTCTTTCCTAGCTCAGAAAGGAGGGGAAAAATATTGCCCCTTGAAACTTAACTGATATTCTGAGTGTTTCRGGTACTCCCCAGCAAGCAGGGAAACTGTGAATTTCAACTGCTTCAAATTTCAGAGGTGTCCCAAGCCCTGAGAAAGGGCTCKAATAAGCAGCCTATTTTTTAATGATAGATCTAATAAAAGTCCTCATATAAATCCCCATAAATAAATCCCAAGGTTCTCAGAACTATTACTAAAAAAGGAATAAGATTAAGTATCTTCTTAAAATAAGACAGCGTCCAATTCATTATTTCTTTTCATTTGGGGGGGAGGAGGAGTGTCCTTTTGGTTACAGAAATCCTTGCAACTGTGTTCAGTGTTTTACCTGCATATTTTGATCCATCTGGATAAAAAAATACACCTTTGCCATGCTTTTTGTTTTGAACGTACGTCCCAGTGTAGAGAGCACCATTTTTAAACCTGTAGGTCCCCTGAAACACATTTGGTACAAATGAAATACTTGTCAGTTCTCAATCTTGWTTCAATACAGTACCCAAATAACACAATTGCAGAAGCAGAACCACARCCAGGGTCGGTGTCTTACTTGTCCGTTCCTCAAACCACGCTCGTATTCCCCTTCGTAGGTGTCACCATTGGGCAGAAGCGCCTTCCCAAATCCATGCCGCTCCCCTTCGGAATTGCGATCGCCCTCGTACTCCTGAAAAACGGGGGGGAAAACGGTGAAAGGGCTGGGCTTGAGTGGAACCAACCTCACCAGACACACGGAAACAGGTGTTTGAGGAAAGCTGCTCCAGCTCGGCTTTAACCAGACCCCGGCACCCCGAGGCTTCCTGGCACCCAACTGGAGATCGTGGACGCGTTGTTTCAAAGCCACGGGGAAAGAGGGGCAGGTCCCGGCTTTACCGGCACAGCCGCACTCCCGAAAGCGCCGTGCCCGGGGCTGCCCCTCGGGAACTGTCCCCGGCCGGCCCGGCGGGCACTGAGCGCTCATCCCCGGGGATGTTCTCCTTCCCTTCCCCTCCCTGCCCCGTGTCCCCCAGCTCTCCCCGGGCCCCGCGGACCCCGATGCCTCCCGCGGCGTCCGCGGACTCTTCCGCCTCCTCGGAGCCCAGGTCCGACATGGCTGCGGCGTCGCCGTCGCTGTGACAACCGAGCGAGCCCGGCGGGGCCCGAGCCGAGCCCAACGCTGAACACGGGCAAATAAACCCTCCAACCTGTCTGTCAGACACTCGGCATTRATGAAGCAGCGTTGAAGGAGCGTGTGGATAGCTCCTCAAAATATGTGTCAGTCATCGAAACGTTTACCTATTGATAAATTTTAGCAAACAAAGGTTCATTGTTTCACAAGGTTCATTAGCTCACAAGTTACATAGTTCTCATTAATTTGCATTCTGTCTTCTATACGTTATTGATTTATCGTTTCTCACGTTAATTAGTCTGCATATTTCAGTCTTGTATTATCTTTTTCCCAGACAGGGCATCTCTGCTTTATGTAACGCATCCCTGTGGTTTATCAATTTTGTTYAGTTCTCAACAATGAATTTTCCTCCCAGGCTCTGCAAACTTCCTTCTCCAGGTCTGAGAGCAYTAAAGTATGTCAAGCCATAAACTTTTAATTGGTTTTTCTAACACAYGGAYATCACCCAGAGCTTGCCCATCAACTGTTAACCATTTCATGGATTAAGTCTCTTCTCAACACCTCAAGATGAGGAAGAACTTCTTTAMACTGCAGAACTCTGGAACAGCTGYCCAGGGAGGCTGTGGAGTCTCCCTCYCTGGAGACATTCCAGACCCCAGCAGATGTGTTCCTGTGTCACCTACTCTGGGTGGCCCAGCCTTGGCAGAGGTTTGGGCTGGGTGATCTCCAGAGGTCACTCCAACCCTCTGCCTCGTCCTCTCAGCTTTTCCCAGCCAGCACCTTTTGTGTGTTGAAACTGGTGATGCCTGGGATGTGACCTGAGACCCCTCAGCCTTCTGAGAGCTCCCAGTAGCTCAGCTTGTCTTACCTGAGAACAGTTTTTTTAGATTTTAAACCCATTCCCTCACCTAGATTCTTTTATTTTTGGGCAGATTTACTGATGTTCAGAAATACCAGTCCACTTTTTGTTTTCTCTCTTACAGGAGCCAGGCAATTCACCTCATTATCACTTTGCACAGTAATTTAATGGCCAAGAATTCAAAAGAGGAGCCAGGCAAGGATATGCTTGGTGAGAAGAAGTGAACTAGACAAGCACTGGGCAGAGCAGGTGGCACTTCTGAGGTAGGCAGGATTGGCAAGTGGTTGGAAATTGTGGTGGAGGTCACCTTATGCCCTAAATCAAAGCTTCTCCACTCAAACCAGAAGAAAAACAGGGTCATATACAAASATACACCATATTCAGATGAGTTTCTTGCTTTCCATAGGCAGGAATTGAAACAGCCAGTATTTAGATGATGCATGAAAAGTAAAAAGGTGTCATTTCTGTGGCAAGTGTCTTTTTGCTTTCAGTTGGGTAAAGATKAAATAGGAAGACACTATTGCTAAATACCTCCAGGCTTCCAAGTTAACATCCAGTTACTAATTTGAGAGCACTTTTCCTTTGAAACACTTAAGAACACKGGAATTAAATTTTGTTAGCTGGCAGAGCATTAAGTAACTGTATATTTATTGACTCCAAACTGGTTATTTCTCTTTCCTGCACATTCCCAGCATTTGACTAGGGAAGCCTAATTTGCATCATGTGCTGTTAAATAAGCAATTGCAGAATATGCCAACTACTGCTCTGACMGCTCAGCTCTTGCAGCACTGACATGAGTGCACGTTATCTGAAACAGTCTGTGCAGTTCTTTCTTACTCTTGATGATGCCTCTGCTTCTCCTTGCACCTAAGATTGGCTAAACTCTTTTATCCACGACAAGGTAATGTCCCTAATTATAAAACTGTTCACATGGTCTGTGAGTGGCATATCCATTCTAAGCAGAACTGCGGCTCAGAGTGATAAGGGAATTTATGTTTGGAATCCACAGGGAGGTGCTCCGTGTTAAACTCGATGACAAAAATAACCAGACGTGTCTTTTGGCCTGGAAGGTGACGTGGCCCAGGAACAGCTGTGACACAAACAGGAAGCMGTGACAAGACATCAGAGTCACTCCCCTGGGTGACCGCTGATAATGATCATTAACTGCTCTTGCTAATCTTTTCAGTGTTCTGAAGGAGGAAAAGGGTCTGAAGGAGCAACAGCTCAGTTTTCTTGGGAAGCAGCTAAGAGCTGTCTCTTTATAAAAGTTAAACTGCTCAGCACCCAGCAGTGCCAGAYAGAGCAAATGTCTGTGTGCCAGGATCATTTGACTTAAATGAGGGAGACATCATTTAAAGTTTTTTGTATCTAGAAACCGTCCTGTGAGCTTATACATACAGCTTATAATAATTATTATAATGAATGATAAGACAAATTTATTTTGTAGTTTCTTGTCTTCCAGTTGAATTTGGGTATGTTTCAATTTCAGATTCAAGTTAAGATTCAGGTATGTCACTTTTGAAAGAAGGGCTGCTGTCATCCTTATTTTCCTGTTGTTTTCCCTTTTCTGTCAAAGGACCAACATAATACSATAAATATTCTGAAGGTCCTGCTGATCTTGTATACAAATTTCATTTGTCCAAAGTGCTGAGAGGGTGATTTGTGCTGATTATCTGCTCTGTCCTTGCTGCTGGCTGAGCTGGCAGTCAGTCACCCTGGCAGGGACAGCAGAAGTTGCCAGAGCTGTGAGTGGCCCTGGGGAAGCTCCTRGTTGGAGTTTGACAGAGGCCCCATAGGGAGCCAGAACTGCACTGAAACCCAAAGCCATTGCTACCAGAGGTGCTTAAAAACAGACAAAGACAACAACACAGGGAAGCAAAATGCTACTGGGARCAAGACCCCAGAAGGTGCCTCCCACAGGAGAGGACAACCCTGGATGTACTTTTATCCTCACTTTGATTTTAACCAGAGGTCTCCTCTGCAGAGAGGAATGGACAAAAAAGCACTTTAAAGACCAGCTATGCTCCTGTTTCTCCTTGGACTTTACCCTCTGTTAGGAGGGGGAGCATTTTGGCAGTGCAGGGGTTTTGCAGGGAAACTGCTGCTGTGGCAGGCCTGTGAAAAAATTCAAATGCCTCCTTCCAGCACTGACCAAGCTCTGAAAACACTCATTGCACAGTAAACATTAGAAATGACAGGACTATTTGTTCACCTTTATGTCTCAATCCGTGTCTTTCTTCAAAGGGGTGATAAAAATACAGCAGGGTGCACACATAACCTCTGATGTGCTAATGGCAGCATGCTCTTCAATTCCCACTCCATGCACTTCAGAATTCCTGCCCTCCAGGAGCTTGCTGCTCTCTGCCCCATCCTCTCATGGAACCTTCTTCCAGGGGCAATACCTCTGTGAGCCAGCTTCTCTCCACCCTGCCAGCAGTGTGGCTCTAGGGAGCTGCATTTTCATCTTCTGCCATCAAAATTAGCAGGATGAGTGGAGATAATTTGCCTGACTCACAGGTTGGTTTCCTCACTTCACATGTTACTCAATCATCCCTGACAGAGTTGGTTACTCTGGGAGGGCCAGTCCTTGGCACCCAAGTTTGAGTTTTGCTCTGGCTCAATTAGAGATGCGAGTGATTCTTGCTCAATTAGAGATGCAAGCGATTGCTTCTGGTAGGGCCGACCTGGGCAGGATTATGTCTTTTGACAAGACTTTAACGAATGGAAATCTGCAAGGAAATATTTTGTTATCTCTTAGAAGACAGTAATTTATATCTTTTTCCTTATAAAAATATAATGCAGAGATGGTAACAGTTACTGGCAAAGTGTAAACAGGAACCGTCAGGAAAAACTTAATGAAATCAGTTCTGTTCCTCCTCCTGAAACTTAAATATAAACCAGGCTGTTTTCAACAGCCTTTCACAGGAAAAATGTGGGATTAGGAAACTGAAATAATATCTTGAGGGGAGTTTTTGTTTGGGAATATATATTTCAGGTCTTTTTAATATTCTGCATATCATCAGACACACTATAAATATTTCCTGAGATTATGGGAACAGTGGACAAAGTGGAATTTATCATCATTAACTTCCATATATTTGGGGTTTTTTTCATCCAATTCAGAATTAAGCAAGATTCTAAAATGTCAAAATCCATTGTAAAATGGGAACTTCTTTCTGTACAGCTCTTTTTAAGCTCTTTACCAGCAAAATGAAATCTGCTTACTCTGTGTGTATGCCAAGTAAAGATAGACTCTTTTTGTGCTCGTAACTAATTTTAAAAAACCGAGCAAATGACCTTTCTAGCCATTCAGTTTACAACTGCCTCCTCCAAGTACAGTTAACATAGGATATCCTGAAGACAGGACAATTCAAAAAGCTAAGGTAGTGTGAAAGCCATTCCTGAAATACAGATAATGCTTTTTTTGTCTCTTGGCTAAATATGACCTTTCAGTTGTCTCCAGATTATCCAAGGGAAAGTGTTCTGCTGTATTTATATCCTGCCTCCATTTCTCTGACCTCACTGCTCAATTTGAAGTACAGGCTACATTCCATTCTTCAGACATCTGGGAAAATTTTCAGTYTTTTCCTTTTACCTAAGGGGTCTCCATTTCCACTAAAGTGCACTAGGGACATACAGACGTCACTTTGGGTCCATCTGCAAAGTTGTTGCTGATGTCTTTTCTCAAGACTTTGATGACAGTCAGTGTTACTAGTGATACCTAGAAAGCAGCTGGTATTCATGAGATTAAAAAAATTCAAATCTTATGGTCAGTATAAGAATAAAGCAGCATCATTTTTACATTCTTCTCTACTATTCTCTGGAAGTGTTTCTTTTTTTCATTAAACAAAACCCAAAGCCTAAGCTTCTTAATTCAGGAAGAGGTTGTAATGACATAAAGCTCAAGAAGCCCAATTCTTTTGTCTATACCCCCTGAAGCCCTAACCTGGTAATTCGGAATTAATTCAACAGACAATAATGAAATTATTGAGGCAGAAGGGACTAATTTGGAGTCTCCTCATTCCTGTGAGCTCAAATACCTTTGTACTGCGTCTCTTATGCTACTTGCAAGGCAATTGCTTTAGTGTAAGCTCTCTCTTCTGGTCTGCTTTCTATTTTACCATGGTTCTGGTATTTTCTTTCTACTTCAATATGCCTCAGTCCTCCCCTCTCATATAACTACCCTCCAGTGATCAAGTCAGCAAGCAAGGAAAAAGGAAATCTGTCAGCAGCCTACCTGCCTAATTCRTAATTCACTCTTTACTCYGCGACAATTGTTTCTGTAGCCCTAYCTTGCACTTCCACCCAGTTCTCCAGGAAATTTAAGATAGAAATAAGAGCAAAATAACACGAGAAACAATCCCATTTCCTGCTGGAAGCAGGATTAAATTCCTCGAGATAAATTCCTCAAAATAGATTTCTATTTGCTAATGGAGGATGATTGCATATAGTTTCACAGATTCCATCTACAGCCTGGTTGTGT